CATCGGGACCCAGAAAAAAAAAGGATTAAAAAACGACCCATAAAGTCACGGTGCCGGTTCTCGCAACTGGTAACTTACGTGCCGGTTGTGGGATCGAGACGATGAGCCTGGCCGGCCCATGTCCATGTCTAATAAAAGTACTATTCATTGCATCTCATTTATTCACTACAAATCCCACTAACATAATTGCAAATAAATTTTAAATTCTCCCGTCGGGAACCCAAATTCTCCCTATAGGAACCCTAATTCTTCCTATAGGAACTTTTATTATCTTCGCTAAGATCCTACATCTTCCTCTTGTTCCTCGATTGTAGCTTCATTATGGCTTCGGGAAGCAGTAATGCTTCGGATCTAAAAAGTAAAGAAGATCTAGAGCTCCAAATGAAGAACTTCTCGCTATCAGAAGCGGAGAACTCCATTGTCGACATCGGACAAGATGACATCGTTCTGAGCAAGGATGAATGCACTCGCAGCCTATTGGGGAAAATCATATGAGATAAGCGAGCCAGTCTATTTGGTCTCAAAAGAACCATGAGCATTATATGGAAAATCCAGCAGACAGTCGAAATAAGAGAATTGGGGCACAACAATTTCCAGTTCATTTTTGAGCTTGAAGAAGACCTGCAAAAAGTCGCATCAGGTACTAACTAGATCTATGATAATCAATATCTCATTCTGCACGAGTGGACACCCAACATCAGCAGCAGCCACAAGTGCTTTGATGAACTTCAGCTGTGGGCTCATGTTTACAATGTACCCCTCCATTGGCAAAGCAAAGATGTGGGATTAAAAATTGGCAACCTCTTTAAAAAGGTAACAAATGTCACTATCACTAAAGCTGGAGAGTTGGGAGGTGGACGGGTCATCAGGCTTCTGGTCTCTGTTAACGTGAAAGAGCCACTAATGAGATGCGCCAACGTCAGGCTTGGAGACCAAATTATAAAGGTTTTTTTTTTTTTAAATATGAAAAACTGGTAAGTCTATGCTTCTACTGCGGCAAATTGGGTCACATTGACAGAGACTGCAAAAGTAGAATGGATGATATTGCTCAAAACACTCTCCATGATGGGCAATTTGGAGAGTGGCTCAGAGTAGGAGATGGACCTATAGGAGCCCATTCTTACACCATACCTTCTAGTCCCTCAACTTCTATGGGTTCCAAAAATTCAGCTCAGCCTTGCAAATTTGCTGCTCTCACCCCAGACTCTGATCACATCAGCAAAGTGATTAATCTCTCAAGCCCTCCTATTCCTCAATCAGCTCTAGTGGAGATTCCTGTTATCTGCCTCTCCAATCCCAGCAAAGAGATTGAAGTTCCCATCTCTTCTTCTAGCCCATCTTTGGGCTTGGATCATCAATCTGATTTGATCATGACGGCTATGCCTATCACTCCTCTCTCATCTGGGCTCAATCCTATTGCAGAAGGTGCAGAATCAAATACAAGCTCGTCAGGAAAGCTTCAGTCCCTGCCTATGGAAACTGAATATGTGGCCCAACATTCATCTCCTAATCCTTCCAAGCTCAACTTAAGGAGGTGGAAGAGAGCTAACCAGTCCGGGGACAGTCAGGTGAATTCATTAGAACCCCTAGAGGTCGGATCTATTAAATCCTCTCATAAAAAGGGAAGATCTGAAGACCCAAGCTCTCATTCAGATGACATCCCAATGCCTATGGAATTAGGTAAAAAACCCAAATTGTCCAAAGAAAAGGTAGAGTTGGCCAACCTTAATGGGCCAACCAGTTCCAAATGAAAGTGCTGATGTGGAATTGTAGAGGATTGGGTGGACCCTCTACAATTCCCCAGCTCAAGGAGTCCTTAAGGACCCGTCACCCTGTTAGAGTAGTATACCCGGCGTTCCAATCTGATTGGACGTATTCTACTTGT